AAGAAAAATATAATTTAATAATTCCATGCTGCTTTCGTGGACGTCAGGCCAAGGCTTGTGTCTTGTGTGTATATTTTAAATTCTTCCGCCCTATATTGAATGTAATATTTCATACACCAAGATAGAAAAAAATATTGTCACTCTTTTTTTTATGAATCTAAGGTTGATACGCGAACGTAAAATATCTAGATATTAAAATACATAGTTTCGAAATCTGATATTTGAAATCGAAATCTGATTCAGATACGGTTCTCAGAAAAAGCGATACGACCCATCTCTACTTCAGAAATTACTAGAACACACACAATTCACTATTAAAATGAAAATAATTTTCGAACCGCAATTATATGACAGTCGAAGTACTTAGAAAGATGTAGACTGTAGACTGTAGTAGACCTAAAATGCCGGCATGTCATAAAATGTGCTTCAGGGCGGGGCTTAGTGACGTAACGGAAAATTAAAACAAAAATTTGAAATTCCTGACATATACTGTACTTAACATTTGTAAAATTACAATTTGTTTACATTTGTAAATTACAACGCGTTAGAGTGAGAGAGATATGTTTTTGTAATTGAGATGTATATTTGCATCATATTTGTATAAAGAGAAATTGTATATGCAATAAAGGGCTTATCCTCTTATATTCTTTTATCAATGGCACAAATAATGTACTTTGTGCCTGAGTCAGCGTGACCAGATTTTATTTGACGAATCTACTGCTTGTCGAGGTTAAAAACTACTGAATTCTACCAAAAGAGAACGACAAAACACTAAAATCATAAATCTAATATATTTTTTGCTGTTGTGTAACCTATAAACATGATTTTTCTTGATTAAACGATAAAGTAATAAAAATAACAAAGAAAGCAATGTTTTTTTTTTTAAGTTAAATTCTAAACAAAAATAAAATTAAACCTAAAGTTAAGATTTTTCGCCTTTATGTTGGGTAACATTGTCATAAAGCTGTTTCGAGTCCATATGATCATACTTCTGTCACGATCAAATCTCCTACATCCTCCTTCCAACTACCCCTCGTAACCCTTCTTTTCCATGCATTATTGCATGCAACATTGTTATTATTACATCGATTTCGATCTTAATTTTTAATCCTATTAATATCGGAAAATATTCTTTCTACTTTGGCGTTTGCCAAAGGTAGTATCTTCATTTGCTTCACAAATCGGAACAAATTGCCATACTTTGGTTTGCTATTAACATCACAGATTTGGCTGACATCACTACAAAATGTATCCACCAAAAACTTCAGACATATAACTAGCAGTTGACAATGAATGTTTTTTTAACATAATACAGGTTCACACTACAGCATAAGTCGAAAGTATTAAAAAAGTCAAGTAAAAAAAGTCTTAACAAGAATAATTAACTAAGAATTACATTCCACATATTAACGTTAGTAACTTGCATACCTGAGAAATGAAGAGAACGGAATATCCTTTCATATTTTTATATGCTTTGATGTAGCCATGTGTTCCTTCAACGACGCCAGTCTACTTAGTACTTCACAGTTGCATGCTTTACAATGAGCACTCGTAGTGTTTACCTTAGATTTACATAACCAACTTTTAAATGGGGGATATTGCTCTCATTCATCGCGATATCCTTGTGTATATTTAAGTTTCATTTCAAACTCGATTATAAAAATTCTCAATAAAGGAATTCCCACTAGTCTATCACACTATGCTCACGGCACGAATCAAACGATCAACAGAATGAAATTTACATAGTAACAATCCATTGTATGAAAGGGGGAATACCCCGCATTTATCCGATAAGCCAAAAAAGTATTATTAATACTGAAAAGCGTGAATTCTACTAAAATATACCAAATAATTTTTACGTACTAAATTCTGTTGCCACTACCTCAAAATCTACCAAAAAAGTAGAAATCTACTAAATCTGGTCACGCTGGCCTGAGTATTGGCCAGGGGGGCTCACTTAGAACAATGTCAAATTTAACCATACCGACCAACGCTGCTACTTTATTCAACCCTAACATTAATAATAATAGTCATAATGGACAGAAGACATATATAAGACTACTGGAGGTCGTGTTATTTGGTCAGCAATACCAACCATAAATTTGAATCGTAAGTAAAATTTGATTCTTCTTCTTCTTCTAAGGCAGTTCGCGGTATGATATCGCCAATGACAATAATGATAGAGAAAAAAATAGTTTGAAATATTTAAAACATTTTTGTAAATATTGTAATATGTAACATTGATTTTTGATTCGAAATTTGATTCAATATGTTATTAAATAATTCTGACTTTCTATTTGTTTGTGACATTAAGACATTTTACATCATTATTTTGTCATAAGTAGATATGGTTAATAAATAATCTTCATAGCTGGATACTTAAAGTAACAGCCTATACATGTCCCACTGCTGGGCAAAGGCCTCCTTTATACAGAGGGTATCAGGGCATAGTCCACCACGCGGCCCCACTGCGGATTGGAGCTGGATACTTGTTACATGTTAATACATATAAAAACATTGTTGTGTCATTAAATCTTAATTCTATTTACATTTTCTTTCAGATAAAATGTTCGAGTATCGGCAGAAAATGTCTCAGACTTGGTGGGCAAGAAAAGCAAGAACAACTCAAAGTGAAATAAGAACATTCCACCAACAAGTTAAAAGTCTCTAGTCACGCCTTAGGCAGGTACAGAAGTCATCATTAAAAAGAGATTTTAAAAAATTATCTCAGAACATGTCGGAGTCAGCAAAGCTATTTAACAGGATGCAATTCATGGAAAGACTGAAGAAAAAAAAGGGTGTAGATTCACTCTTGATGAAAAAATATTGACTCTCTTTGTACAAGAAAAGCCCTAAAAGATACAAATTAATGTGTAAGCATTTCACTTTACCATCAAAAAAAATATTAAAATTATATACATATATTATAAAATATATAAAATTATATAATTAAAGTGATGGGGAAAATTGAAAAATCTGTACCAACTGTAAATAATTTAATGATAACAATCGTCAAACAACATTGTGGCAATTATTGTTTAACAAATATTCCTTTGATGCCATACTAACACGCAATTTTAATCAAGACCCACTAGAAAACTTCTTTGGAAGTATTGACAGTTTGGGTGCTCAGAATATTGTACCTAACTGTTTGGGATTTGAGGAAGCATTTAAAACACATTTTATTAAATACTTTCAGTAGCAATCACTATTAATTCAAATTGTGAAGGGGATTTAAACAATTGGTTGCAGCCATTCTCTTTTTTTATTAAGAATAAAGAATTTAATAATGCTCCCTTAAAATCCCAAAATATTGTTATTGATCAGCTTCTGACTATTATGCAAAGAACAAGAAACGTTTTAGATTCTGGGGCTGATCAGAGAACTTGTGTCTATGGGTGGGCCTTGATAAAATTTAAGGACAAGTTACTAAGCAATACTGGCAATGGATTGTATAAATATATTAAGGCCAAAGAATATAGTCAAAATAAAAAATGGCTCTGCTATTCATCTGAATGCTTAGTGGCTTGTTTTCAAGAAATACAATAAATAACAATTGCATTTTTAAATGATGATTGTCATAAAAAATATATAAAAGATAGCTTTCATCACTCATTTTTACTTATTTTGTCTTCATGGATTGTGAAACTCATAAAGAAAATTTAAAGAAAGTTATATTGATATATCCATTAATATAACTTGGTGCAGATCTGTAAATAGAATACTAGAAGGAAAAGTTGTTTATAATGGAAACAATAGAATTACTGTTCAAATTTACTGTTCTAAACATGAAATAAAATTATTTCGTTAATTTTGCACTATAGTTATTTTTCCCCATTATATTCAAACCCCAATTACAGGAGCAGATATAAACTTGTTGTCATAATAGAAAAAATGTACACATCTATATAAATGAAAATTGCCAGTCAATGTAATATAAACAATAACATTTTTTTACTTCTATAATGGGTATTATGTTCCACATTATACATTTCCAATTTGCGAAAACTTCCAGGATAAAGTTAAGCCATTTTCAAAAATGGAAAGAAAATATCTGTTATAAAAATAATTTTCTTTGCTACCTTTAGTAGGCAATTTCAATTATTTAGCATATTTAAAATAATCCGTACAAGTTATTAAAATATTTATCTTAAAAACCTTATATTATAGTCTTTGTATCCATCTTTACTAAAGAAATAAGCATTATATTTTGGTTTGGTGAATATATAATGGGAAATCACTTAATATTGAGACCTATAATCTGTATAGGTAGGCATAATAAGTATACACACACATTGGCCAAAAAACTGTCAATGTGTGTATAGATGAAGTTACTCAACCAAACTCCAGGCGGCAGCACTCAGCTCGGCCACTCTTTCTCCTATATATAACTTTACTCTTTGGTATTGGCTAAGTAAAAAGGATGTGACGAAAGAAATATATTGATATTTATAAAAACGTCAATATTGTTCTCGACATATCAAATAGAAAATATAGATATATCGAATAAAATAAAGATATGTCTCGTAATAAATATTTGAAATCTATTGACTCTGTCAGTTTTCACTTTTATCTTTCTGTGGTGAATTCAACTTTGAAAAAAATTCTCTTTTGGTATGATATTGAATATTTATATCGATATATCGGATCTAAATATATCACCTAAAAATATTGGTATTTAAAACCAAAAACATCGATTTATCGATATTTTTTCGTCATCCCTACTGTTCAGTAATGCCTTAAATTAGGGATGGGCAAGTAAAAAAAATATTTATCGTATGTTCTCATTTTTAAAAACTCGATAGTTATCGAATGAAAAATATCGATAAGTCGAAATTATTTTTAAGATTTTTTATTATTATTAATATTTCCAAACAATTCAAAATTCGTGAAAAAGAATAGAAACGAAGAATAAAGTAATATTTATTAATTACCGACTCAATCAAGTACAATTTATTCGAACCAATAATCATCTGATATGGACATTAGGAGCAATAGTTATGCTCCCCTGTCTAATCTGTTTAATATACTCTCCTGTCGAACGGCTACTATTGTTGGGTACGGTCAGATTCACTGATCAGAGACACCGAAGAAGCCTGGTAAATTTGATAGTTAAGGGCGATTTTTCACTTCTTTTTAAGGTATTTTTTTTTTTATAAATTTTTAATTGTATAAAATTGTAACATATTAATTAGTCAGACGATTTGGACTCATTGAACGTCGCAGCGTTATTAAATAAAATCATGCAAATTGACGTAAGTATCACGCTAAATAGTTTAAGAATTTAACTAGTTGATTAACTTCTCATGATACTTAAGTTAGTCGACGTCTTATAATATTTGAAATTATTTCCTTCGATCAATTTTAAAAGATAATATATAAACAATTATACTTAGAGTTTTTAAATTTCATCATGAGCAATGTTTTTTTTTTTTATGAAACTTTTTTGTTCTGTTTTAAAAAAAACCCGAAAATTGTTAATTGTTTGCTAACTTCTGGGTCAAATACGTCTCAGTCAAAAACGATAGTTTAATAGTATTAGTAATTAGTATTTTCATGGTATTGGCCTTTAAGGTTTTGTTATTAGCCTATATAATCTTTATTAAAAAAAGGTTTATCGTGCACGCATCTAGTAACACTAAACACCAAACCAGAGTTGAGTTAAAAAATATATCGAAATTGACACGAATTAGATAGTCGAAAATAAAAATCGAATACCGAGATTTTTTTGGAAAAATATCGATATTTTTATATATCGATATTTTTTGCTCACGCCTAGCAAAAGTCTATGGAAAGGAATACATATAAATTATAAATATAATAGACTTAACAAAACATTAAAATCAACAGCTGTAAAAATAAATAAGATAGTGAGTCCGAGTCGCATTCAGGTTATACAGACAGAAGCAAAGAGGTAGTTAGAGAATTTATAAAAGTTTAATAATTTCAAAGTAAGAGTTAAATGTAAACAATAAATTGAATCGTCATGTACAATTTATTATCAAATAAATTTCTGAATACGGAATTTGATTAAAATTATGGTGGATAAAACTATAATGCCCTCTTTAATGTGATTTGTTTTGCTTCTTTGTTTCCTTTTATTAAAGTTGCTTTCGTTTGCAGGCGTGGAACAGTTCCAACATAGATTAGTAAATCAGTAATTTAACGTTATATGAGTGATTTCACTTCTCCTAATTTCATAATTGTAAGTAAATACTGAAGTTATTCTAAACAGGATTTTATTTTCAGATGGCATGGTCTGGATATCAAAAGTTTCTAGCTATTATGATGGTGGTAACTGGGTCTATAAATACTCTGAGCACTAAATGGGCTGATAAACTAGAATCTATAGGTTCTGATGGGAAGACCAGACCCTTCGATCATCCTTTCCTTCAGGTAAATGTTAAATAACTATTTTTTTTCCTTAATCTTATTCCCAATCAATGATGAATTTAATGAAGAAAAATTATTGACACATAGAATAATAAAAATATATTAAATTAACATGTGATAATACATAATTATAGAAAGACAGTTTTTACAAAGACGTTTTTCTCTCGACTGCAATTCACACATGTTGGAACACTACAAATTTTCAAATTTAATACCTGTTATCTGTAAGTGGCCAGTAATCCTTAGCGGAATGTTTTGAAATCTCTAACAGAAATATATCATATTATTTAATGATTTGCAGGCCACCATTATGTTCTTAGGTGAGATTCTATGTTTGATTACATTTAAATTAGTATATTATAAAACACGAAGTACTGGAGGACACTCCCTGACACAAGGAAATCAAAATTTCAATCCTTTAATACTAATGCCTGCAGCAATGTTTGACTTGGTAAGTAAAATTATTGATTAGTAAAATCTAAATTAATTGAAAATCTAAATTATTGATTAGTAGTACAAATAGCGGGTTAAATTTTGAAACGAGACGCCTTAGTAGGGGGTGAGTGGGGCGAGAGGTCACTAACCCCCCCCCCCCCCCCCGAGACGCATAGTTTTTTATAATACAATTTTTAAAAGTAAAAAAAGTAACAGCCAATACATGTCCCACTGCTGGGCAATGGCCTCCTCTATAGAGGGTATCAGGGCATAGTCCACCCCGCGGTCCCACTGCGGATTGGCAGACTTCACATATTTTCGAAATATATGTTTTTTGTTATTATTTCGAAAATAAGCAGGTTTCCTCACGATGTTTTCCTTCACCGCGGAGCACGTGATAAGTCAGCACTTAAAGTTAAAAACTTCATTGGTGCCGGCACTGGGGATCGAACTCAGGTTGCTCGAGTATATTGAATTAAAGGCGAGCGCCCGGACACTGAGCTATCACAGCTCTTACTACATATTGTTTTATTCATTGTTACTTTATACAATTTTTAATTTTATTTATTTAATATCTAATAAGAATGTCACGAGGAGGGTTCCCCTCCCGCCTTCTCCGCCATTGACCTTAAATAATATAATAACAAGTTTTAAATAATTTTTTTTTCCGTCAATTCAATGCGATCGGAGAATAATGCTTGTTAATTAATTCATTTGTGATTTTTCTCGTTACTTTAAATTTTTTTACTTTTCGTATCTTCGAAAACACAAATTTATCAAAATTACGTACCATTTCACATTCTTAACATTGTAAATAAAAAAAATTGCTAATAAAATTTTTTACGAGTCTCCGGCAGAAAAAATTCATTAGGGTGCTTGGTACGAATCTTCTTAACCTCCCCAAACTTACAGTGTACTTAAATTCGGGTGACTTGTTTCAAAACCCAACCCGAAATAGCTTTATTAGTTTATAATATTGTAATTTCTTACTTGTTGTCAATAAGCTTTTTTAAGTGAGAAGGTGGCAAATGAGCTGGTGGTTCACCTGATGTTATGTGATAAATGCTGCCGATCCCTATGGGTTGCAAATGCAATTTGCAACCTATGGGGAACCTATGGGGAGTTGCAGATCCAGTTTATAATTACAACTTAATATGTCACCTAATTTTAATAAGCATATGTACAACATTGAAAATCAAAACTTTTTTATGTAGAAATAATAAAATAGTTAATATAATTTATAATTAATCTTGTTTAAAATTATTTTATAACATTGTATGATTTTTCTACAGATCGGCACATCAATTATGTATATTGGTCTTACACTGACTTATGCAAGCAGCTTCCAAATGTTCCGGGGGTCTATCATCCTTTTTGTAGCTGTTTTCTCGATGACATTTCTCAATCGACAGATTGTTCCAAAAGAGTGGGTAGGAATAAGTAAGTTCATATAATAGAATATTCTTCATAACATTATCTCCATGTCTCAATATGTCAAACATTTCTTTCAAAATCACTTTATATGAGGAGCATCGGAACCAAAACCAATATGTCACATGTTACAATTTTTCAGTTAATTAAAAGTAATACATAAGACCTACACACAAGTAAAGCCAAAGTTTACTTGTGTTTAGGTCTTGGTAACACTGTTTTGATATCCAAATCAAAGATTTATGTGTGCAGTATGGGATGAGAAATTAAAAAAAATGGGTTTGTGATCAGACTGACAGTTATGTCCTTGTATAACAAGATTTTTTTAGACATATTCATTTTAAATCTCGCATTTCTAGTTATTTATAAAATGTTTCTAGGACATGTTTTTGACGGTTTTGACATTATTTTAATTCAAATTTTGACCCCATACCTCCTGTCTTATAATTCTTTGGATATGGATTTGTCGGTTTTCAACCAACCAAATGCATGGCCCATGAAAATTTCTAAGAATTAGTCGGTATATGTTCCAATCATGAAACAATTCAATTAATTTTTGGTTTATGTTCAGATTAGTGTGTTTCAAGAAAATTTTTTACAGACATTTAATGACATTTTTAGTCATTTATAAATAGATTTGACACAAGACATACTTAACATAAAAACTGTTAAAATGTGATTTATCGGTTTTTGTTCCGACAGTCTTTATAAATAAAAATATTTGTTTCAACAATATTTTTCCTTCTCATTAAAAACACTAATAACTGACTCTTAACCATGTTAGCTCACTATCATTTCCAAGATCATATATATCATTAGCCATTTACATTATCCTGTTACATATTTATATAGAGAACACCAGATTAAAGTTCGGTTAAACAATATCATGTATTACAGAGATATTCTTTTATTGCAATAATTTCTTCACCTTATTAACTGTTTTTTATTTTTCTTTCCATGAGATCAAAAACATCACAAAAGACAATTAAGTTTGCACTAACGCAAGTTGTCTGTTATCATAACAACATGCAGTACATACAAAGTAACAAGAGATAGTGGATGATTGAAATTACAACCTTTGATTGGAACTTTATCTAATTAATACATAGGCTCTCTTTATAAATATATCAAATATGAATTCTACATATAGCAAATGATATTGAAATAGACATGAATATGTTAAAAAGTAGATACTTTATTTAAAAATATTGATATCATATTTCAAATCATGACAGAGTAAGATCTGCTGGTATATATAAATAATTCTCCCAACTGATAGCTCCTTGACAGGAGGTCGTCAACTTGGTGACATTGTGACTTATCATATCATGATATATCTCTTCAAGACATTTATCATATCAATTAAAATATTATTGAATTCCTTATGATTTCCGCTTAGCTTCATTGTCAAAGATATATATTATATTTTTTATTTATTACTTTTTTTTCCAAATTTATTAAATTTTTATATATAATTATTCTGTATGTGTGTATGTCACTGAACTCCTAAACGGCAGGACCGAATTTAATGAGTTTTTTGGTGTATCTTCAGGTAGATTTGAGAATGCTTTAAATTCACAATTCGGTTCACTACAATGTTTTTTTAAATATTTTTGTTTACAAATGTTTGTTAAGTTGTGCGTACAGGACAAAGTCTATCAGTCTGCTAGTATATTATGTTAAATTAAAACATAAAGTAGCAAATAACAGTATCATAGGTACTTGCACCATAATTTGGTTTTCAATAACATTTTTGCTCAGTTTGCTTTTGATGAATAATGAATTTAATGTGGGCATTAAAAGTAATATGAGTCAGTTATGTAAACAAATACTTTTAAATATTGAGCACAAGCATTTGATAATGTTAATGAGACATTTTGTATCAGCAAACAATATTGAATATCTTATTATATAAAGCCTATTGTTTGTTTTAATATTAACTTATTTTAGTGCTATACAGTTAAGAGACTGCTGTTTATATTATATACCAATAATGCAGATTATTTATATTTTTATTTGACTGGTAATAGTGGTAAATTCTCAATGTTTGCGTTTACTTATGATTGTTTTGTACAATTTCAGCTGGAGTACTCCTGGGTCTTGCAGTTGTTGGTGCAACTGATGCTATCTACCAGTCTCCGGGTGAAGCAAAGGGAAGAAACAGTCTTTTAACTGGCGATATGTTAATCATTGTTGCTCAAGTTGTTTCTGCATGCCAGATGGTATATGAGGAGAAATATGTTGCTGGTAATACTACTTTTATTAGAGCTGGATGCTTCATAAATGTGCTCATGTTTCACATTTGATTATTTGGACCTATTTTTAAAGATGTATTTAAGCCTATACATAATATAAATGCATTTTTTTCAGTTGTTTCACAAGTTTCGGCTTTAGCAATACAATTGAACTATTTACATACAATCATTATTTTTTGCTAAAAGATATATCACTATGAAAATATTACTAAATTATTAGTTAGTTAGTTATTATTATTAGTAGAAGTAGTTTGTTCTAACAAAAATGTTCACTAGGGGACTAATCATACTTTATTTTTCAGGTCTAAATATCCCTTCAATGCAGGCTGTTGGATGGGAGGGAATATTTGGATTCTCGATCCTTTCAGCGTTATTGGTGATATTTTACTGGGTACCGGCTCCAAGTCACTTCGGCAACAACCCTCGTGGCACAGTAGAAGATGCTATTGATGGTTTAATTCAAATAGGTATATTTTATCCAGTATATTTTAGCAACTATACAAATACTATCAGTATCCGTAATACATATCACCATTTTCCTGGTAGCAAAGGTAGCTAGTTATCTTATCCTTTAAACGAGCAATTCTTGTATATATATATATATAATTGGAATCTCGGAAACGGCTCCAGCGATTTTCATGAAATTTAGTATGTGCGTAGATTCGGGGGCGAAAAATCGATCTGACTAGGTTTCATTTTTAGAAAATGTCGTTTTATCCCAGTTTTCAGAGAATAAAAAATATTATCAAATACGACGGTAAATTTCACCGAAAAAAAAATGTTATAATAGCTCGGTCGGTAATCGAGCGGCCGCTAACAAACAGCCACGAAACAAAAGGCCGTGGTTCGTATCACGATCATTTACACATTTATTTTTTTACTTTTTTTCGATTCCAGATCTTTGCTTTCTTTATCTTTTATTTTTTGCCGATTTGTTATTTTTTTCCCTTTTTTTCTAAAGTTCCTTTCTTTTGTGAAAAACATCAGTTCATATTTTCTTATTATTACGTCGGTAAGATCGAAAAATATTATGCATATTTCATTACTCAGTAATTTATATCTAAATGTAATTTTCAAAACACGATTTACCAAAAAAAAAACAAAACCCCCAAAAAAAAAAACAGTCCTCCGGGTACTATTAGTTTATCTTAGTCAGTATTAAACGTAATTTTGTTTGTCCATAACTATAGTTTGAACTCCTAACATAATTAAATGAATCACTAACAATACAGATTCTTAATCTGTATTTGTGTAGGTAAATGTATTTAAAAAGCGAGGCACATACGTAGTGGTGTTATGTTGTACTATGTACAAGATCCTCTTGCTTTTCAGGCAACAATCCCCTTCTCCTAATGGCAGTGATTGGCACGGTTGTCTCCATAGCGTTCTTCAATTTTGCCGGAATCAGTGTCACCAAGGAAATGTCTGCTACCACACGAATGGTGTTGGACTCCATAAGGTAAACTTAGATGCAATCGATTATCCATCTTTTTACTAGTTGTCGCCCATTGTTCGAATTTCGACCGTAATTTAAATTAATAAGAGACGACGAATTTATTCCCTTAAAATTTCCATAAAATTAATGTGGATTATTGAGCAACATTTATTAATTGAAACTTAGATTTATTTTTGTTCATAGGATAGAATTATTTAAAATAGCAGTTATAACCAATTCTAATGCGCAGCAATGCATATTTTAATATAAAGAAACACTTTTGTTATTGGGTTATAAAGCTATTTATACAGCTTGTCGTTACGACGGCGACAATAAATGAACACACGTCTAACGGTACTTGCCAATAATCATAAAAAATATCAAACGTTAAAAAATCCATAATAAAAAAAATATTTTACAATCAAACTAATTAAGTAAAAAAAATGTAATATCCTGTACTACAACTGTCTGATTCATACATTCAGAGACTTTTTCATTCGCTGCAACAATGCGACGCGCATTACAAGCCTCTCCTTCTAACAGTATGTTTTGTCTCTTTTAAATTCATTTAACCCATTCATATGCTTTGTGACCTTTACAAATGAACTTTACGTTACAGTTTTATACTCAGGGTGTTTTAAAATTGTTTGTTTTGGAAAATTTAATAACTCCGTTAATATTAATGTTTAAAGAATGTAAATTTTTAATAAAATTTTAAAAAGTTATCCTTGTGTGTTCATTTATTGTCGCGGTTGTAACGACACGTATAATTTTTACGTATAAATAATTATTTGCCCTCAACTTTTTTCTGGCGCTTTAACATAAAACCTTCAGATATTCGTTAATACCTAATAAAAGCTAAAGATAATATAACATAAAAATAGTTTACGATCTAAATATTAAAATATTGAAAATGTTAAACATCGTAAACATGTATAGTTAGGACACACTCCATACCAAAGTGATAATTATTTTTATCTTTATTAGACCTTTATTTTTATCAGACTCAATAAGTCGACCTGATATAAAATTTTTGGCAACAAGCTTAAAGCGTATTAAAAAGATAAAATACGTTCAAAATAGAATAGAGTGTAATATTTATATGTACATTGCACACTGTTTAATTATGACTAAAAAAAATGTAAAATCTTCAATTTGTTTTATTTTTCACAGAACTTTCGTCATCTGGATGGTCTCCCTGGCAGTCAGTTGGCAAACTTTCCATTGGCAACACCTCGTTGGCTTTGCCATCCTGTTGCTTGGCATGTTCCAGTACAATGGCGCTTTGCCTGACTGCTGGAACTACCGGAGGAATAACGATGTGGTTGTAATACAGGAGGAAGAGGAGCGTGGTGTAATAAATTCAGAGGCGGATAGGCTAGAATAAGTACAATGAAGCTAATACTCAACTCGACCATTTTATTCAATGAAAGCTAGCATGGGAGCGAAGGTATTTAAAAACAAACTAAAGACAAAAAGCTTATAAAATACCGGTAAATGGCTAGAAGTCAAACTATTTATATGCACCATTATTTTTTTAAACCACAATAATTTAAACAATTTATTTATCCTACATTTTCAACATTAAATCTAACTTTAATACATAATATAATAAATTATAATGTAATAAATCTAACAAATCTAAAATAATTTGAGCGAGGAAAAAACAAGCTGTCATGTCACCAGCCACGGCGTTAAGCTTAGGACGTAAACCTTTCAAAAATTTCAATGTACGGGGACCCCACGGACCCATATTTTCAACAGCAAATGGCACAAATACATAATCCAAATAAAGAGATTCATATTTGCGCCCATTAATTACATCGGCTGCCTCCGTCGCCAAAGTACCCTTTAGTTGAGAGGCAGCAAAAGTGCCTAGATAATATTGTTTCGGTTATATTCCCTCGATTGTCGAATCATTAGAGAACAATACCAAAAAGAACTTAACACGTAAGATGAATTTATGTAGGGCGATGGGGGAAGGCGACTCGTTGGAAAACCGTCATCTCATTCTCTCAGAAATGCAAAGCTGGCCGTTTAAAACTTTAAATTGCTGTTCAAATTGACATCAAGTTAGTCAGAATCTGGTTCAATGGCAAATAGTACAGTGCTATGAGGATCATACTCCAAATCTGAGCCAAGCCTCCTTGCTCCTTCTTTGCCATATTTTTTCCATTTTATTATATATATTATTTTATTATTTATATTTTTCCATTTTATTATATTATATATTGTAATAAAATTATCATAGTAAGAGTGCTCTTAACTAAACATATTACTTTTAAACCACATTTGTTTCACCATACTGGCTACCTTTTATATTCATTTCTATGTTAGCTATATTTGTAGTACTCCCATGTAGTCAAATTTAATAATGTTGGAAATTCCATAAATAGGAACTTATTTAAAATTCAAGAAAACTCACTCCATCCGTCCGCCCTAATGCTTTCTATTTTCTTTGAATAGTGCTGACATTGAAATAGTATTTAATTCTATTTGGAAACCAAAAATAATATTACTAATACAACTACATATTATAATAAAGTTTAACATATTTTTATAAATTATCTCATTCAACTTTTACTTTTATAGTGGTAAGCATAAGATCTAAAATAACTATAGTTTCCTTACATATATTTTGCATAAGAAATATTATACTTAGGTTATTATTATATTGTATTTGGAATTTTTATTGAATCAATTTACTTGTAAAACTGATTAAAACATATGCGACCGATTTGCAACCAATTTTTGTTATTTTATTTGGTAATCTATATAATATACATAAACCATTAAAACATATTTATTTTTAATCTGTTTGTTACTGAATTAAACAATTGGGGAGACATTACGATCTAATAATAATCGCATGTACTAATTTTACTAGATCTATTTAAGATAACACAAAGTTCCAAATGACGGGTTGGGAAAAAGAACAATATGCCAGTGCAATATTTTTTATTGCCTATTGTATTATCAATATTATATAAATTTTTATTACTTGAATTGTCTTTGTACTTTCAATATGCATAAGAAATACACATAATTTATTCGAATAAAACAAATGTGTTCTAATTTTGCTAATTGACCTTTTGACTTTAATTTTGTGCATTTGATATCTACAACATAAGCTCACTGCATGGATTGCGTGCGCAGTAGTCACTTACCATCGGGTGCATTTGCCCCTTTTCTCCATAAGAAAAATGTATGTTACGGTCCAGACAAATAGCCGGTCAAAACCATTATTGACAGCAACAATCTGTCAATAATTGTCTTGACCGATGTCGTTAGTTAAAAACAGTTTTCAGTGATTTAGCAGTCAAAAGTGGTTTTAACAAACGCTCTTGTTCAAAAGTAGTTTTGACCGCTGTTTTTTTGGATGCAATAACGTTAGCGAAAATTACTATAAAAATCATTAGTACAGTTTTAATTACATTACAATTACACGGCTTCATTTAAAAGAGCTGCGGTACAATCGAACTGCTGCAATTTGCTGAAAGGGAGTTCCAATTTGACGTCACAATAGTTCTTTTTCTTTATCTTTGGTTTTAATATGTATTAATTAAGTGATGTCAAAAGGCCATGCGATACAAAAGTAAAAAGTTCTCATAATCGGTAGATGTACATAACGGAGGTAATCATGATGTAATCAATTTTTTCATACATAAATTTCACGCGGACAAACACCCAGATTCGAAATATCTTTGGGGCACACAAAAAATTGTCTCGAGTGGGAAACTAACCCACGACGCCCGACGACGAAACCTTGGCAACTGTGCCATGGAGTCATCAATTATGTTAACAAATCAATTTTGTTATAAATATTTACTGTTAAAGATTAGAAGAGATTTGCTCATATACAGAAAAATATATTGAAATGTTTACCACATCTGACGAATAAAGATAAAAACAAAAGTTAACGTTTTATTATAATGCACTCGAAAAAATTGTAGTATCATTATCATATCAGGTTTCTACAAAGGAAATGTGCAGTTTTAATCTAATTTCACTGATTACCGCGTTTTTGCAGTTTCGTTTGAGCTTTGACTTTTTATTAATCATAATTTTCAATTTTCATTTCTCTCAAGCCTTCTCGATGTCTTTTTCACCTTGTTTCAATTTTTGTCCTTCTGCTGCAATTCAAATTAAGTTTATTGTATTTATAATACATATCATAATAAAAAACTAACTATGTAGTGGCAGTATGGAGCAGGTTATGCTTGTTATTTCTTTGCGTGTTGGAGTTCGTAATGAAGACATCCGCTGTAGAACAAAGGTAATTGACATAGTTCAATGGATTAGTAAGCTGAAGCGGCAATTTGCCACCTATATAATTATGAAAAACCGATAACCGATGGCGAATATTCTCGGGTGGTAGCTTCGTATTGACAATCGTAACGACCTATGCAAGTGTGTGAAAAGTTGATGAATTCTGTTGTCTCAGGATCATCCTTCGGGGCAGTCTATGCAGGGGAGGGATTGTATAGAGAAGTAGGCGGGGGGCTCAAACGAACTCAAATGACTAACTATATGCGGGTAGTTCTCGCCAAACTGAATATTGGCTAATAAGTAAGCGGCAAAGCGCTGCGCACGTATAAAATTAGACGTTGAGAGCCAGAAAAGTGCGACGCTGGAGCACTCGAAGTAATGACCTTTTATCCCAAAATATGTGAAGTCCGCCAATCCGCCATTGGGTCGCGTGGCAGACGATGATACCCTCTTTACAGAGGAGGCCATTGCGCAGCAGTGGGACGTTTATAGACCGTTACTTTACTTTTTTTTTGTTTGACATGTTCAATTATTGACGAAAGTATGGAAAGTTGTTATTTTTTTTTATGCGAAAAGTTGCCAAACGAGCAGACGGGTCACCTGATGTTACAGATGCGTTGACAACCTTTTGAAAATTGGGCTCCGGCTACCTCACTCACCAGACGAAACGCGAAAGTATTTGTCATACTTCCACTTTACGCTGGTCTTCATGGGGTCGTGGTACTTACCCGCACGGGCCTGCCCATTCGTGCAACAGCCGAGCCTGCTGCGTGGCCCTACCACCGTAAATCTTAAATCTCACCGTATCTTTTAAAGAAGAATTCTTATATCTTATACCTTTAAACGAGCAATTCTTGTATATATATATATATATATATATATATATATATATATATATATATATATATATATATATATATATATACATAATATAATTGTATATAATCGGAAACGGCACCAGCGATTTTCATGAAATTTAGTATGTGCGTAGATTCGGGGCGAAAAATCGATCTAGCTAGGTTTCATTTTTAGAAAATGTCCTTTTATCCCTGTTTTCAGGGAATGAAAAATTTAATTCGAATATGACGGTAAATTTCGCCGCAAAAGAAAATGTCATAATAGCTCGATCGGTAATCGGGCGGCCCCGAAACAGACGGCCGTGGTTCGCGTCACGATCATTTACACATTTATTTTTTTACTTTTATTTCGATTCCAGATCATTGCTTTCTTTATTTTTAATTTTTTGTCGATTTGTTATTTTGTTTTTTTTTCCCTTTTTTTTTTAAAGTTCTTTCTTTTGTGAAAAACACCAGTTCATATTTTCTTATTATTACGTCGGTAAGTACGATAAATATTATGCATATTTCATTACTCAGTAATTTGTATCTAAATGTAATTTCCAAAATAAGTGATTTACCAAAAAAAAATCGGTCCTCCACTTGCTATAAAAGAATATGTGCCTATGGCTCCAAGAATTTGAAGTGCTTTTTAAATATATACTCAGGACAATAAAAATTAGGCGTGATTTTACGCAAATAATATAATCAGGGTTCCGTGCCTTAAAAGGTAAAAAAGTAACCTTTATAAGATCACTCTCTTGTCCGTCTGTTTGTCCGTGTGTCACCACCGGTTTTTTCAGGAATGGGTGGACCTAGCTACTTGAAATTTATACCAGTTACTGGTTTGTTTAGTTCCTGTTAGGTGTATAAATATAGAGGTTCTGATAAAAATGTCAATACTTTAAAGAGCAATTTAAATTTTCACTAAAATAGTACCAAAGTACAAAGTAAAAAAAGTACCAAAATTTACTTATCTTTTTTTAAACATTGCCCTTAATTTAGGATACCATTATCCTGTGTTGTAATTTGACGCAGACAAACACCCAGATGCAAAACAACTATCTGTGGGTCACATAAATATTTGTCCCTTGTGGGAACCGAACAGACGACCCCCGACGATGAAACCAATACCTTGGCAACTGCTCCACGGAGTTATCTAACTTATGTCTTAATTTTAAACAAAGACCTTGCTTTTAACCACAATTGTAATTCTAGGTCAACTGGAAGTAGCCTATAGTTTTTTGTCGAAAGTATCTGGTATAAATTTCAACTTGATAGGGCCACCGTTCCTGAGAAAATCGGTGGTGATTATTTACCAATTTTATTATAGCGGTATAATGGGATCGACTCGCATTTGATGAGCTTTTTTTTTGCTTTTAGACTTACTATTACTAGCGAAACTTGGTAGCCTGGTAGCTACTAATAAATTGAAACAAAACTAACGTAAAGGTTCTCCGTGAATCCAGTACGTGTATTTGATATCAGAACGTTCTCGCTTCATCGCCTCCAGTTTTATGTCGGCTTTGAGGGACATACGTAACACTCTTGCCGCTATGTTCGAATAGGTTATATAACTGAAAAGCAAATACTTAGTGTAAATATAACAAGTTATCCATTGAAACTCCAATATTTATAATGGTAAACTCCTGCAGCCAAGAATTGTTTCTTGCCAAAGGATGGACGGGGGTTGTAGTGTTCGCAATATAAAGGAACAACAGATAGTATCGTTTGATACTTAATGTAAAATTTTATAATGTAATGTTTTTATCTTTTGTTAATTTGCTATTGATGATCAAAATATTATTCTTGATTAAATATTCATATTATTTATTTCTTTTAGTGAACCACGGCAGTATAGTAACTATTGAGTTGTTGTTTTTTAAAATTGAATTTTGGCGATAACGTTATAAAAACTTATTTTTTCGAAAATATATTTCGGTGACTATAATTATTACATTTCAATATTACTTATACGATCTTATCGTCTGTTATCAGTTATACGCTTTACTATGGTCGAGTAAACTTCCCCAAGGCTGCACTACTAGCCGTTGTTTAGCGCAAGAAACAAAACATCCCTTGATAGTTGCAGTCGTCCGTTTTGCTATAAATTTTCTGATACGAAAGACTACTTAATGTAGTCAATTGACGCAAGCTAATGATACTATCTACAAATATGAGGTAGATGACACAATTGCTGTAATTAGATTTCAATTCTATAGCCTGCGTCTCTTTCAGTATCACATGTTCTATAATTATCATCTGTCACATTTACTAACAAGTTACATATTATGTCATATAATGTAAAGCAGACCAATTTATAAACACCGCGCAGTATGGACACCCGTCACCTATATTTTTTTGATGATTGGGTCGTGGATTCGATTCCCACACGGCACAACTATTTGAGTGACCCACAGATAGTTGTTTCGCATCTGGGTGTCCGTGTGAAATTATGTTTGTAAAACGTCCTTACAAAACAGGATAATGTAATCCTAAAGTAAGGGCAACGTTTTTTTTAATATTAAAAAAAATATTATTAAACATCATTGACGCTAGCGGTATTTCCGGACTTATATCACTTATGGAATTCTATAAGAGAGCCGCCTTATGTTTCGTAATGCTTTTGCAATTCTTCTCGTATTACAATATTACAAATGTCCATAGGCAACGGTGATTACTTACCATCAAGTGAATTACTTACTCAACTGCGGCCTCATCCATAAAATAAAATAATATTTATGTTATTAATATTGCACCTAAAACATTTAGAAGTACATCTTAATTTGCAAAAGAACAGTTTGTCATTGTAAACTCTAAAATATAATAGGATATTTTAAAACACCAATGTTAAAAGAATTCTAACGAAATTCCCAATTGTATAGAAAAATAGGTTTACTTCAATCCAGCTAATCGCCACGTGCTCATTTCGAACCACAATTATTATCGTGACTTCTTCTTCTTCTTCTAAGCTAGTTGGCGGTCCATATGATATCGCCAATCACACAATTATGATAAAGAAACAAATGGTTTCAAATAATTATCGAGACTATTCCGATTTATACAATCCAAATGTCAAATAATATGACTTAAATAAATTAAAATAAAGGGGTGACAATGCCTACATGACATAAAAACTTTTTAGTTAGTTATAAACATATAATACTCGAGTGCTATATAAGCTTTATGTTAAGGTATGGTGTACACTTGTATAATCCGTTAGATTTTGTCCCTTGTTTTCTATCACTCTCCTCCAATCTTTTCTATGGCGTAGCGTTATGCTTGTAAATTTTTTACAAAAAAAATTCGGGACATTTTAAATTTGTAATATAAATAAATACTTTCACTTTCTAATCGTCACACTATATTTCCACGTCATCATCAACTACAAAAATATAATTATGTCGGTAGTCCGATCCAGTAAAAATTAAAATAAAACACGAATCGATCGACATAAAAAAACAACTAGTAAAAATAAATTAATAGGTAATTTTTATTTCCTGTAACTTTATTTGTAGTTCACTGAAGTAATAACGGAAATAAAAATAAACCAACTACTACACAATAGAGTTCAGTAAAATGAAGGCACGAAAATACATGTAACTATGTTTGTTCTATTTATTCTCTGTATAGGCTGGAAAGAATAAGCAGAAAAGCTCAAAGAGAGAGAGAAGTGCCACATTGATCGATATGATTAATACTACTTTTAATGGATCGTCAGTGGTCCGTTTGGCCAAGCGGATTTTTCGCGGGCTGCGGGCAGGCTGTAATGCTAATATCCCACATATCCAAGCTCATATGAATGACGTAATATTTTCGAGTAATTAATTAAAAAAATTGTACTTGAGCCTGGATTATGTATAAATAAATGAAGAAACTTTATCAGGTGTTAATTCCATATCATTTAATATGGTTAGTACCCTAAGGTATTACTTTTTACGTGCGTACCTAACCCAGACACGTTTTTTTTTGTTGGAAAATGGATATTTAAGGATTATTTAAACTTTCTGCATGTCAGTTTAACGGCAATCTGTGTTTATTATTATTATAAGCATATATTATTATTACTACTTCATGCCGGTCTTGTGAATTGCCATAAGATTTTCATATCGATGCGGTATATTCCGAAGTAGCAGAACGTTAATAGAGAGAGGGAGAGCATTTGCAAATGCCTGCGTTCATGCATTTTCAAATAAAAGAATAATAAAAATAAAGTAAAGCACCATACATTTATTACATTAATTATAAGAACCACTAAATTGTTTACAAAGTGTTTCTTACAAAAATTTACAAAAGCTCTGCTCTGCTCAAACCTAATAGGTCAACCTACTTTTGTTTTAATGAGCGACTGAGTCGCTCGATCTGTCGGAACTGACGTAGCTGACGCATAACAAGACGAAGATGAGAGTCACGGAGTGCGCGGATGCTACCCATCCACTTATCACAGCCCGGTCTCTTCTTTCGGCTTAATTTTTCTGTAAAAAATATAAAGTCGGCAACTGGTTAGTCGTAGCTTTTTTTTATGTGAAAAGTTGCTAAGCGAGCAGGCGGTTTACCTGATGTTAAGTGAATATCGGCGCCCATGGCCATCTGCTACACCTGAGGGTTGCAGGTGAGTTGACCTTTTTGGAAATTGGGCTCCGGCTACCTCACTCGCCACACTATATACACGCGAAAGTATTATACTTCCACTTGACGCCGGTCTTCTGTGAGGTCGTGGTACTTACCCGGACGAGTCTGCCAATTGGTGCAACAGCCGAGGCTGCTGCGTGGGCCTACCACCGTAAGTGCTCGTGCATGCATCACGGTAACGTTTTAGAGGCTTGTTAATAAAACTGCAATATGCTCAAGAAGTTAACAGGCGTTTTATTTTTTTTGTTTTAATAGATTTAAGTGACATATGATATTATAAAAATAATTTTATAACGAAATATTATTAATTAAATAAAACGAGGATTTTTCGAAAGCTATGAAAATAAAAAAGCTTGTAAACAGTAAAATTATATACGGCTACGCCTTCAATTATTCAAGTAATTATTACCTTTGATTGTAGTTAGTCTCTTTGACAGAAACAAAAGCTGTTATTTTATGTCGTATCCACAAATCTTTTACATCTAGAACTCTCATTAAAACTTTACACTTAACGCTTAGTTATCGTTTAATTACAGTTTACACTTTACCATTGATAACGTTGTCTACTTAATTAAACAGTAATAGTAATAATATACCATAATATAATATACCTCCGTCATCACTGAGCTCCTTACTATCCCCGACAGACACAGTCCTGCGAAATGAAAATTGAGTGGATGTTAAAAACTCCAATGCTTTGAGGTGTCGACTGCATGCCGTCTGAATTTCGGTCTGAAGGTCCTACTCCTAAGTGGGAAACTAACAGTATATAAAAAGCAAAGTAACAGCCTATATTTCTCCCACTAACTGGCAAATGCGACCTCACTGTAGATTGGCAGACTTCAAATTTCTCTCAAATATTCTTTGTCATTATTTCAAAAACACCCGTGTAGTAAGTCAGTAATTAAAATTGCAACTAATACTAATTTCCATTGGTGCCGACATCAGGATTTGAACTAAGGTTGCCAGAGTATATTGGAAAAACTACAAAAAAAAAACCAATGTTGGTTTCGTACGAGTTCGATAGCAATAGAGAACCTATTGCTACCTCTGTCGCACACTTTTACAATGACTGACAGTCGTTACAGAAATAGTGTGTGTGACCATACAAGGTAAAAGTATATTTCACCATGAGCGATGTACACCACCTACCACCGATTGAATATGTACAAAAGATTACGTTATATGTGCATACATAATTTAAAAAAGCTGCAGGAAAATTGTTGATTGAGGATAGGAGTCACGTATATGGCTACCACATGGAAAATTGACAAATCCTCACAAAATGATTTCCATAACCTGAAATTTACAATACAGACGTAATTAACAACCCTCGTTCAATAAAAAAAAAAATTTTCAAGCGAGATGTTAAAATCATGTATGTAACGCACACTGGTCAAATATTACCAATTGGGGAAATCCTTTAGAGTTTAAATGATTTTAGTTTTTAAGGCGCTGTATGCAGTGAATTTTTAACTATTTGGATGGTAAAACAGGTGAAGTATGAGGAAGCGGAGGAGGGGCAACGACGCTTAGCGGCGCGCAGCGCGCGACTTTCGTCGACGCGCCGCTAGACCTACTCATTCCTTACCTAGTGTGTGTGTAGTGATGGGCATTAGGATACTACCAATAGTATCATGGAAGGCTTTCGAAAACAGATGATCTCTATAATATCTTTTATAGACCATGATCGTATTTTACTTTTATATTATAATAGGAATAATAATAAACAAACAAATATAAAGTATGAGAAAGCAATCAACAATTTTAAAAAACCTTCTTCCTGTTTATTATTATTTTTTTAATTAAATGGAAAAGGAATTTATTAAAAATACATCTTAAAGTCAAATAAATTAATAAAGCCAAATTACTTATAATAATTTTTTTTATGGTTTATATTGTGATTTTAAAGAAATGGCTCATAAAATTTTTTCAGAAATTACGAATACAAGTTTTTTTATTACATTTTTTTAAATATTAGGAATTTGAATTTATCCTTTAAATGTTCAAGACTTACTTACTTTGTTATATTACTTTTTCAACTAAAATGAAATTTAAAAAACTATCGATAAAATCCTTATTTGTATCGATAAACGACAGCAATTATAACTAGAATCGAAATTTTGGTCACTTTGTACAGACCTCGCGTAGCCTGTTGGTCCGAGCGTCATACACAACGGTAAACTATTGCTGTAGTCCCAAGTACAAACCGCTCATCGAGTGGAGTTGTATTTTTTATATTATTTTCACTTTTAATTTGTTAGCCAACTAATTATTTTGTTTTTATTTTATAAAATGGCTCTATTTGGGAAATAAACAAATTATAAAAAAATTATAAAATAATTATTCTTCGTGTATAAGATAAAATTTTGTTTTAGGGTGAACAATTAAATAAATTAATAAAAAAAAAGATGAGGTTAAAAAAAATTAATACTAAGAGTTGGTTTATTTACTGATAGATTGTTCTCCAACTGTTTCAACTTTGAACAAATACAATAATATTTCGTTGTAACTATTAATGAAAATAAAAAAATCAACAATAATTAAATGGTTATTAAGAAATACTTCCAAATAAGAAAATCAACAATAAGTACAACAAAAAATTTAGGGATTTGAACCCAATCCATAAAGAATTATGGTCCTATACATTGTATGTATAGGACTGATAGACCAATCAATCACGAGATAAGACATTGAAATTATTAATTAACAACTGTTTATACATACAAATAATTTATAAATACGAAATATGTGAATATATACATTTGTGACGCACCGTCTTCGCGGCGACTATAAATAAAAGTCTTTTAAGCGTCAACTATTTTGTTTAATTCGGTTATTAAAACGGTTACAATCACAATATGTACTTATTAACTAATGAGTCGCGTACAACACAGAGTTCGGCGCCCGCGGCAGCGCGATATGCGTACGTACTGAAATACAGAAGGCGACTAATCGTCAGATCTAGAAGTGGGCGATACAAATCGTATCAGATATGTATACTAGATATTAGTACAATATCCGAATATCGCTTACTGGCTCGTTCAATATCTATGTATTTTACAATATCTGATATTTCCGAAATCTGATGTACCGTGCTTGCTCGCTATACCGACACGAATCGCGATATCATACGCGTTTGCCACAATATCTGATTTTTAAACAGATTTCGAGAGACAAAGCGCGTGAGATACAAATACTCACTAGTTAGAGCGGGACGGCAAGCAATGCACGATATCAGATTTCGAGCGACAAAGCGCGTGAGATATAAATACTCACTAGTTAGAGCGGGACGGCAAGCAATGCACGATATCAGATTTTTAAACAGATTTTGAGCGACAAAGCGCGTGAGATACAAATATTACACTAGTTAGAGCAGTACGGCAACAAGGCACAATATCAGATTTTTAAACAGATGTTATGAATAAGTTAAGTAATTTTGAATCTTATCACGATGCAAATAAGATCCGTTTTAATTGAATACTAATCATGGTATCAAAGATTACTACAACGATATTATTATATTTCTATTGTTTTGTTTAGCCTTGAGCCGTAACGGGCGACAAAGCGCGCAGTTAAGTAATTTTGAATTTTAACAGCATGGAAAAAATCTCTGTTGCATTTAAATACGAATTACGGTATTAACGATGTCTTTAAATTTTGTTTAGTCTTGAGCTGGATTGCATTGGTACTAAGCACGTAATAGTAAGGGATGCCAACTTACTACTTAAGAATTTTCTGCCTAAATTAAGGAAGAAAAATATGAATGGAAATTTTTTAGGAGGTGAATTTTTTGTGAATATTTTTATTAGTTAAATTTTATTCATATTTTTGGAAAAAAAATAAAAGTACACAAAAAGAAAAATATAATTTAATAGTGTTGTGCTGCTTGGGTGGAAATCAGACCAAGGCTTATGTGCTTTTGTGTGTATATTTTAAATTCTTCCGCCCTAAGTTATAATACTGAATGTATTATTTCTTACACAAATTATAAAGATATTGTCACTCATGATTGCGTGTTTTAAAAATATGTTAAAGTCAATTATTAAGCGATATATAAGATGTTAAAATAAATCATTTTTTTATATTACTTCAATTTCTATTTTTTTAATGAAATTTTTAATTTTATCAGGTAATGTTTTAATTTAACCTTAATAGTATAAAAAAAATCGTGATTTTAAATTCAGTAAGTTTTTTGAATTTAGGCAATTTTAGTGGGTTTTCGAATTTATTTAGAAGTTTCTTTTTGAACAGTTGGTATCACTGGTATAGCTTTTGCTATGTATAGGTACAATGATCGTCGAACAAGACTTTCGACGATTAAAGTCAAACAGCTTACGTTCGTAATCGTGAATTTAAACCCGGAGGAATCTAAATAATTATTAACCCACACATCATTATAAATAAGTTAAGTTTTAAATATCAGGAAAATTATGCACATAGAATGAATCAACTTTTAAATACTCTTTTTTTTTTTTAGAATTCAAGGTGGATACGGGACGTAAAATATCTAGATATTAAAATACATAGTTTCGAAATCTGATATTTGAAATCGATATCTGATTCAGATACGGTACTCAGAAAAAGCGATACGACCCATCTCTAGTCAGATCTAAAGCGCAGCGGTCGCCGGCGCCGGCGGCCGTAGAGTGAGGGGTGAGAGGGAACAGGGGCATGCACATACCTACGCGCTATACATTTTAGTTTCGTGTTTTCAGAGGTCTAATAAAATTAAAACTCTCAATAATAAATAAATACGAAACATATTTCGTAACGGTGAGCGGGCGATGAGCGGCATAGGTCCATCTAGCAAGGCGCCAACGCCGCCGAAACAACGCCGCGGTGGCGCGGTGTTTTGGCCATCGCGTTCGAATTAATTTTAATGAATTAAATTAATATTTACAAATATCTTACTTCAATCAACAAATTAAGATAAGAGTCCTTTTTATTAATATATTCTACACCACTGATATTAATTTCATTAAGATTTGTTCATTTTTTATTTTTTTATTTGAATTTCACGTTTAAAGGTAGGTTCATGATTTTTTTTCTATTGAGAAAATATATCGAGAATATGTTTCGAAAACAATGGTCCATTGGAATGTAAGATCAAGATTAACATATTTTTTTTTTGCTTCTATAAAATGTATACATTTTGTAGAAGCATTACAAGATGTAAAATTTTATTGAAAAACCTATTTTTCCTTTAGCATACAGCGCCTTAATTTAGACTTTAGACCATATCATCAGTTTATTTCTTGAATGGAAAAGTATGTGGGCATTTCAAGACTACTGTTTTTAAATATTTTCTACTCGCACTCAAAATGCCAATGTAGAGAGAGTTTTTCGATCCTAGGAGCTCTCATTTCTTTCCTTACACCATATATATATAATATATGTATATATATATATATATATATATATATATATATATATATATATATATATATATATATAATATAAATTAATTTATGATATAGATAGTTGCCGTAGTATATGAGAATTCTCATAAAACGCTAAATGTGTTAAGTTTAGTCTGAAGGCAATACATACGCGGATGCGGCGAAAGCTTGAACAGATATACTTCGGTGTTCTGTTTCAGATCCTAGGGTTAGTCTGATGGATAAAAAAAAATATATATTAGTGGCCATCACATCGGTACACCAATGTAAAATTCATGATAATGTCTGACATGTCTTACATGTTACTGCTAGATGTAGGAACGACATGGTGGAAAGATACATCAGATTCACTTGGAATAGGAAGGTCTAGAAGCAACGAGCGTAATAATCGACTAACTACCTCTTGCGCTTTACGAGTTGTGGACGCCTGCAAAATATAATATGTTATATTTTACATAGTTATATATTTTCCATATAATATTTCGACCATGGCTGATTAGACAATTATATTACGTTCCGAATCCATTAGCTTGTGCTTTTGTCATCTGTACGGTATAAAAAGAAACTTGACAACTGTACAGAGCAGTTGTAAGTAACTATAGCGAGTAACTATAACTTTCAAGAAGAGAGCATATTCTAAAAGGCTGGCAATGCAATTAAAATTCCTCTGATGTTGCAGATGTTCATGGGCGGTGGTGATCACTTTTCATCCAGTGAGCCTCTACTACCCATTTGCCCCATTTTTTTCCATAAAAAAACCTAATTTAAACTTCCGAAAAAATATTCATAATTTGCAAAATGTTTAAGCTATAAATTTTAAGTCCAGTCCAAATAGTCAGAAGCAATAATATGTATACATTTTCCAGGGTCCAGAAATTTGTCCACATTTTCAGTATATAAATATGTAACGTGAAGGGCATAAAGTTGTAGCCGCTGGAAAACACTATGCTGTTTGTTTTCCTAATCAATAAAATAATATTAAATAAGATAAAAAAAAATTAAAAAAATCATTAAATTTTGTCTTTCACCAGAGTGGCAAAAAAATGTGGCCACGTTTCCATTAATAGCATGTGTCATAGCTCCGATTCATAAATAAGTATTGTTCTTCTATCCCGATATGATCTTAAAGGTTTATTAAAACTTTAAAATAAAATAATAACTGGCCATTATGAGTTTTCTTGTTATAATTATGTCAAGTTTCTAAATAAAATTTTAATTCTAAATAAATAGTATGTGTAATATAATATATACGTGCAAGTATGTTTATAAAATTGTAATTATATATATTTATGATGAAGTATATTTAGTTATGCCATATTCTTTATGATAGACACAAAAATTTTGTATGTCATTTTAGCGTTACTACCCGTAACTTGTACTCAACCACCAAAGGTTAGCTGGAAGAAAATGCTAATTAGCATTAAGTTCGCCTTTGTACAAACTTCTAGTACAATAAAGAATATACAAACAAACAAACAAGTTTCACTCATGTATACTTGATGAATTTCATGATTTTCATCTAAAATTTATTAAGCAAAACTATTAAATGTGCGGTACCGCATCAACGATTTTACCAATCACCGCATTGTTACTATGAGAGAAGAAGGATTATCAGTAACTGAAATTTTGTAAATTTCTGGAGTGACAGTAGTTTTATCATAATAAATTTTATCCTAATGTAAATAAATTTTATCTCCTTTAAACGAGCAATTCTTGTATATATATATATATATACGGAATCTCGGAAACGGCTCCAGCGATTTTCATGAAATTTAGTATGTGCATAGATTCGGGGGCGAAAAATCGATCTAGCTAGGTTTCATTTTTAGAACATGTCATAATAGCTCGGTCGGTAATCGGGCGGCCCCAAAACAGACGGCCGTGGTTCGCGTCACGATCATTTATATACACATTTATTTTTTTACTTTTATTTCGATTCCAGATCATTGCTTTCTTTATTTTTAATTTTTGTCGATTTGTTATTTTGTCATTTTTTTCCCTTTTTTTTTAAAGTTCTTTCTTTTGTGAAAAACATCAGTTCGTATTTTCTTATTATTACGTCGGTAAGATCGAAAAATATTATGCATATTTCATTACTCAGTAATTTGTATCTAAATGTAATTTCCAAAATACATGATTTACCAAAAAAAAAAAAAACAACCCGAGCAAAGCTCGGTCCTCCGGGTACTATATGTTTAAAAATACAAAAAAATAAGTTTTTAATTATAATACAAATGTCTTTTTCAATTCCTCAAAATATTTTAGTGCCCTTATGTAATTAAACTGAAACCTTTAAACGGTATGTTTGAACAATTACCTAGCACCCTATGTTAATATAGAAGGGCAATTTGACGGAAACAATCAACTTTGGCATGAATTGAATCAAATTTATTATTTTGTATACGAGTTATGAAATCTTTGTTGTATCCATACTCGTATTTTTACTTCTGACCATGAATACATGGTCTTGACGGAAATTTGGATACATATTTTTGCCGCTTTCGTGGTAGACATAATTTAATGAAAAATTGATCGTCTACATATTTATGATATTTACCAATGACTACAACTTTATGCTCTTCACGTTGAGTAGGTACATTTTTGAAACTGAACTGTATACATATTATTGCTTCTGACTGTACAGTTGCGGATGCTTTTTGTAACGTAATAGTATTTAATTCATGCAATGATTAAGTTAATGAAATATGCCACCGAAACGATACAACGAAAAATTTTAAGTTTGTGCAACTTAGTAAATATACAGGGAGACTTTTTAAAGGTGCCCAAATTTACACAGGAGGTTCAGACTCGGTAGTATAATCGTTTAATGAAATAAAAACAAACTTTTTTTTTTCAAAAAAATTACCATTCTATTCCCTAAAAAACACAACTTGTTGACAACGCTGTCGTCATTCATAAATACCTAAATTTTACTGTTCACAAACGAATTTGTGCGCGTGTAGTTATGAATGATCGCGAGTAAAAGCAATGAGTTACATATTATAAATCACGAACTTTTTGAGATAAGTTACAATGAATGTAATTAATTATTTACAAGTGTTTTAAAGTATTTAACATTTTTATATAACGTTATTAATGACTAGAATTTAATTTAAAAAATGGATACACTTAGAAAAGCTTCCCTGTATAATCATGTTTAAATTATAACGGCATTAATAAAATTAGAACCATACCTCGACAAGAATCTTCAAAGATTGCTCAGAGGGAGTGTTTGTTGTGAAAGTATTTTTACTAGTTCGAGACAATTCCAATGAACTTTTTGCGGTGATTGCGCAGACTGTATGTCCAGCATGCGGACAAATTACCAAATGCACCGGTTCGGAAGGAGGTCGGGATGAAAAGTATGCTGCGTTGTCTTTCGCAGCCACGTCCACTGGATCAATTGACACATCATTTTGGGACCTGATATCAAGATAAAATAATAGGCAAATACGTAAGACATTTAAAGGTCGTACGTAGGTTGATCTATTGGAAATATTCGAGAGATTTGAGCGGATTTACGTTACTGACGTTTTACAATCCCGAAAAAAAACTTAAGGTAAAGCTTTTATTTCCTGATGTTTTTAGTTATGTTTTGGCGACATAAGACGATATTATTTTGACCCCGATACAGACACTTGTTGCCCGTATTTTTGTGGTAGTGCAGAAACCATTGACTTCCATCCTTTGTACACACACTCAAACTTCTCTGAAGGCGAGGGCAAAATAAACTTACCTGTTGAGCAGTTGAGCGTTGTTCCGGACGGGCGAGTTGCAAAGTGGAGGAGACAGTGTCCCAACAATCGTTGGTGAAAGTGACCTTACATGGGTTACACGTCTCACGGGGCTGCTAGAGTTTGATTGCCGAGACCTGATCATAAGTTTTTTTTTAATGTAAAAACCTTGATTACCTCACTAGAAGAAACGCCGAATTATAATACTTCAACTTCAAGCCGGTGTTCTTTGAGGCTGCCCATTCTGCAAAAACTTCTGCGTTGCCCTACCATAGTGTATTTTTGGTAACTATATACTTAAGCAATACATCACAACACTTCCCTATCTCTTTGTAACTTGAAATCCAATCTATATATAATCGATCTAAATAGGTATCAAAATTCTCGTGAAATATTCAATTATGACATTAAATAGGTGTTTTACTACTTCCTCTATGACCGCTAGGGCTAAAGTTTAAGAAGACCGCCCTGAGCGTTGATGAAGTTTAAACACTATCATGGTTAAATGAAACTTAAAATTTTAACTCATCCAAGCTTTCGGATTAGTATATAAGATATTACCTACACAAAGTGTTCCGTGTTCGAGGACGCCGCCCGACTTCTTTGTTTACTGTAAGAAATAATGCACTTTTTATCGAGCTTTTATACATCCCTCAACGTTGTTAGGGTTACGCATGTACTTATGCGTGCGTTATCGTAAATGTAAGAAATGTCATCGAGTGCTATCGAGATTCGGTACAGACTGGGACCCCGATAGTCGTTAACTGTATTAATCGATGACTGGGGTCGGTGAGTACTTTCTTATGTGTAAAGTTAAAAGTGCGCAGGCAGTTCATCTGATTAAGCGATTGTAGCTGCCTATGGGCAATCTACAACAGCTGACGGGTTGCAGATGCATTATCGATCAATAAAACCACGGGCCCTGGCTTACCTTACTCAACAGACGTTGATTGTTTAAAAAAAAATTTAATAAGACTGGACATGTGGCTACTGTTGCATTAGAGAATCGTCGTAACGTCTAAGATCTGATAAACGATGTAACATTTATCAGATTTAAATGACATGAGATTGTATCTTGGCTTGGGCCGCGCGGGTGAAGCCACGGATAGCAGCAGCAGTGGTAAATGCAATTCAGCTCTAAAACACGTCCACTCTTTCGTTCTTAAAAAAATATTTATAATTAAAAAAATCACAATTTCTTGTGTTGCCTGACTGAAACGGGGCTGGATATCCACTTTTCCATGCTTGAGGCCATGCCAAAGATATCGGGTAACGGGGCATCCCTTTGCAACAATAAAAATGTCAATATTACAAAATTGATTTTCCATAAAAAAAGAAGATATAGGTTACTAGCATAAAACCTGTTGAAATATTATTATTTACATTTGAACACGAAATACGTAGAAACAAGTTTTTACCACAATAAAAATAAAAAGTGAAAAAGCGAAGAAATTGATTCCTTAAAATTTGTTAAAATGAAGGAAAATTGCTGATAAAACAAAAGCTTAGGCAGTAAAACTTACTGTATTACTCAATTTACAATGGCATGTGTTTTTTGATTGTATTCAGAGCATCGAAACGAAGCATTGAAAATCAATGAAAATTTAAGAGAGGAACATGTAAAAAAATTTAATTATACAGTAATCACTGATAAATAATGTTGTATGTCAAAACAGGAGCACAGAAGACTAATACGAGAAAAATATTGTAGAACCGCCATTAAACCTCTTTTTTCGATAATTAAAGATTTTCTCTGATTCGGTGATTTAAGATAAGTATACAAAATATATGAAAGGAAAAGAAAATATTTTATCTCTGATTATACACCAAAAATAAAGTAAAATTGTTTTGTTTACCTAACTAGATGAAAAAGAATAAAAAATGTTTATCTTATTGTTAAAGATCTCTGAACAAATATGTCACTAAATTGTAAACAATGTTTTTGATGTCTTTTGCAAACAATTTTTTTATTTGCAAACAATGTTATTGATGATTTTTGTCACTAAATTGCAAACAATGTTTTTGCTCTAACGAACTAAAAAAACGTTTACATTGATATGCTAAGAAAAACCGGCCGAGTGCGCGTAGATCTCTTGGCCAAGTGCAAGTCGGACTCACGCACGAAGGGTTCCTTACTATCATCTATAAAAACGGCAACAAAAATTATGTCTTTTGTATGGGAGTCCCACAAAGATTTTTTTGCAACAGAAATACATCATCTGTGAAAATGTCAGCTGTTTAATTATCACGGTTCATGAGATACGGCCTGAAGGGTGACGGACAGACAGACAAACAGACAGCGATCTAAGCATTCGGGACCCGTTTTACCCATTGGGTACGGAACCCTAAAATGGAGGTAGATTTCAACAGCGAAGATTTCATTATATTATACCGCCCATATTTGGCCAGGTTTATAGATAAAAAGTCCAAGATATTTATCCTTATTAATGATCACTTCTTAAACGATAACGAGGCATTACAATTGTTTGCTCAAATAGTACTAAAGATAACTTACTGTTGAAATACGAAGTAAAAAATACATCTATTCCAAGTTAATGTAAGAAATTAGAACTTATAATATTAAACGTATATATCTTTATATATATAATTCTTATGTACTTGACTGTCATTGAACTCCTCCTAAACGGCTGGATCAATTTTAATGATCTTTTTGTCGATTAAAGAATGGTTTAGATTAACAATTCGGTCCACTACTTTTTTTTTATTTAATTTTTAATAAGTTGTTGTCGTCAGATTTAAGTCGTGTGTACAGGACAATATCTGTTCGGTCCGCTAGCCACTAGTGTGTTTAAGATTTCCACAGACTTGTGGATACGAGTATCATATTAACTTATTAGTTTATTTCGTAATATAAAACCTACTGCATTCTTCAATACTTATCAGCATGAAATAAAAAAGCTTAAATATTTTTTTATCCATTTAAAGCTGTAATTAAGAATATTTTCTGCAGTCAAGTACATTCTTTCAAAGCTTGACCAGCATTCATCAAGGCATCTAACGGCTGGTTTCAATATTCAATCTACATAATATATACAGCGTGGCGCTACAACATTTACATTCTTTAAACATCAATTTTTACACAGTTATAAATTTTTCCAAAACAAACAATTTTCGAACATCCTTACGTATAAAACTGTAACATAGTTTTTAAAAGAGATAAAACATACTGTTAGAAGAAGAGATTTGTAATGCGACGCTGCGGCAACAAATGAAAAACTCTCAAAATATGAATCAGTCAGTTGTAGTTGTATAGGTGTTACAAATTTTGTTTCTTTTTTTTTAATTTTGGTTATTTTTAACGTTTTATATTTTTTATGATTATGAGCAGGACGTTAGACGTGTGTTCATTTAGTGTCGCGGTTGTAACGACACGCTCTATATTTGTAATGTCGTGTAATTTTAATAATGTAATTTTAGCTTACACCGCTTCGTCGGAAGAGCTATATCAACTCTGGATAAACAATATGTATAAGCAAAATTTGTAAGATCCGTCTGCGTTAGGACAATTAGGTAATAAAATAAAACATATTATTCCAACGAGCTTTAATAAAAACAAACAGAAGGTATAAACCGTCACAAACCGTATGTTTTTCAAAGTTATTTGAAGGCCTCACGTGACTAATTACGAATGTACTATTTCAAGAATACTTGTATAACAGCCAGATATCAAGCATGCGAATCCGATTAGCATAATCAATATGTCGCGTATGTATTTATAGCGGCCAATCCCATAGCTGTCGGGATACCATAAGCACAGGTCCATAAAACCCGGAAAGATCACAGCTAGTAGCGACAAGCAGAACGCGCCGAAAAGTGATATAAAAGGTCCAAGTTGCGGCACCGCTACTGCTAGAAGCCCTGGGGAACGAAATATTCATTAAAAATTTAGGGGTTGTTTACAAATTTAAAATGCCCTAGAACACACAAGAATTTATGTATGACTGTAGTTCTTAAATTGTGTTTGAACCAATAAATAACGATATCAAAACTATTATACGCGGGGCGCACTAAAAGGTTCCGGAATGAATAAGAAAAAAATACTATTAAGGGTCAATAATGAATTTATTATTTTTCAAAATATTCTCCCTTTGCATTAATGCACTTTTTCATACGATTAAATCAATTTTGAAAATATTTGTGCCACTCCTGATGAAAATCGTTGACCGCGTATTTGGTTCTTAATTTTTTGGGAATAGAAAAAAGTCACAAGATAGACTCTAGGTCTAGGTCGGGACTATATGCAGGATGACTCATAGGGTCTACGTTTTTCACCTTCAAAAATTCGTTTGTCTATTTGACCGTGTGGAAACTAGCATTGTCGTGGTGCAAGTTTATCATCGCCGTATCCGGTGTTAACGGTTATTTTTACGCAGTTCGGCAATAACTTACAACTAACTAAGCTTAACTGACAAATGGTCGTGTACCAGTATTCACGGTACGACGATTCTCTAAATACACAGTAGTCACATGTCCAGTTATATTAAAAAAAAAGAAGCAATCATCCGCTTAGATCCGTTTATCACGCACGCTTTGGTTGGTTTTGGCCCATCTTAAAAGACCCATACGTTCGATTACTTATTTGGAATCGTAGCAATTAATCCATGTTTCACTACACCAAATTTGACACCTGTTCGTGATGCATATGTATTAAGATGCTCGAATCTCATGGTAAGTCACATGCCTGACTTTTTATATCATACAGCGCACACTATCGATGTTTTTTTTGTTCAGCGGTAGACGGGCAACCATCGCTAGATTACTCACTGAGATTGACACGACCGCGCTTAAATTCTGCAAACCAGCTATAAATAGTCGCTTGGCATGGTGCTTCATCGCTAAAAGCAGATTGCAGCTGAGCAAGGCTCTGCTGAACTGTCAAACTGAAAATCATACTACGAAAAGTTTCCCGAGTTAAGTCCATGTTAGTGTAGACACGCAAATTTTACAATGGCCCCACAATGTAAAAACAATTGACAGTTAGTTGAAAGAAACTGCATTCTACAGCCAAAGAGTTCCATTTTCCAATATTGTAATTACTTTTTTAATATTGTTTATGTAAGTGGCCTAATCCGGAAACTTTTAGTGTGACCTATGTCTGTACTGTTTTATATTTTTTTATATACA